ACAAGACTGTTTACCATTCATATGACATTTATGAAAAGACAAACTCTAGTAATGGAGAACAGATATTGGTTGCCAGAGGTCAAATGTAGAGACAGGATGAGACCATAAAACGATAGCACAAGGGAGTTCTTTGGGGTTATGGAACTGCTTTGTTTCCTGATCAAAGTGGTAATTATATGAAAACGTACGTGTGTTGAAACTCACAGAACTTTTTTTTTTTTATTCGTATGTGCATACAATGTTTGGGTCATTTCTCCCCTCTTCCCCTCCTTCACCTCCCCCATTCCCTCCTCTCCCCCACCCCCTCACTGCCAGGCAGAAACTATTTTGCCCTTATCTCTAGTTTTGAAACTCACAGAACTTACACCCCAAAAGTTATTTGATGAAAAAAAACACAAAATAATACTAATGATGCAGATGTGGAACAACTGGAACTTGTCACGTTGCAGGTAAGAATATGAATCATGAACAACTTCTTTAGGAAACAGTTTATGGTTAAACTCCTAAAGCTGAGCTTATACATACCCTACTTCCCAACAGTACAGAAATGCATACATGTGGTCACCAAAAGACCTGCCTGAATGATGCAAGTACATAATCTGCACTGTATATAGAACCCAAACTTGGATGTACTGACGTCTATCAATGTTAGAATGGAGAAATAAATTACTGTGTGTGTTCATGTAACAGAATACTATGCAACTATAAAAATAAACTGTTGCACATGACAATATGGATGTTGTATAAACAAATGTTGAGTGAAAACATTTCAGACAAAAGAACATGCTCTATGTCAGTAGTTCTTAGATTATTGTCCTGAGATCTCAAGTTGTCTCTGAGACTATTTCAGGGAGTCTGAAAGGTCAAAACAGTTTTCATGGTAATACTTTGTCCTTTTTGCTCTTAATTCTTCAGTTAGTACACAGTGGAGTTTGAAGGACGCATGAATTAGGAGCCAAGCAGAAGACGATTCATACGAACATTTGAATAGAAAAAGTTTAAGTATTAACTATATTAACTATGATAGGACTAACTCCAAGGGGTTAAAACAATTATAATGGATACCATAAGGGTCGAGGATCAGTACAAGAAAGGAAAGACTGGAAGAGAGCCCCTCCCCTAAGGCTGGGATTCAGACCTTGGAGAAAGTCTGATTGCAGTTCCCTGTTTGGCAGAAAACTTTGTTGGTTTTCTCAGGCCAGACCTGGTATACAGTATCCTGCAGAGTGGTATTGGTAGGCAGACCTAACAAGCAGGAACTCAGAGCCAGAACTGGCAAATAGGATCAATTTTTCCAGAGTACAAGTTGCCAAACCTGGGAAGCAGAGTGCTGAGGTACCTAGGAGGCATGCTGAGAATCTACCTGTTGGGTTACTACTAGATCTCAATGGAACCTTTCAGGAGAAGGTCTGATTGCAGCTCACTGGATGGTAGATAAGTTTGTCAAGCCTCTGTACTCACCATAAGACAACAAATAAATGTACGTGCAAACTAGGAAAGCAAGTGTCTTTCTGCAGTGTCCCTACATCACCCTCTACTGACAGCTTAAGTATGGATCATGCCAGCTACAAGGAGAACAGGAGCCAGTTCTTATTACAGGGCTGAGAGGCCATAAATAGATAATGGGCACACTGTGTGATAGTGATGAGTCAGCTCTGATAGCTAATGTAATGTGTGTTTATGAATTCTTGTGTTTTTAAAATTCCTCTTAACTTATAATATAAATATTATTAGTTATAACCCACATAAAAAAGTCTTGGGGGTCCTTCATTACTAAATGTGTAAAAGGATCATAAGATAAAAAGTTGGAGGACTGCTGCTTTAACAACAGGTGGACTTACCCATGATGCTGGAAGTCCAGTAGAGAAGAGCACAAAGGAGGCCCCTGGGTGTTTCTCATCAGGGTGCATTTACTTTGTGGAAGTTCATTCAACTATAAACTAAGGATTTGTTGTCTCCTTCCCTCCTCCCTGGTACTGAGATTAGAACTCAGGGCCTTGTGCTTGCTAGGCAAGTGCTCTACCACTTGAGCCACTCCTCCAGTCCTTTTAGCTTTAGATTATTTTTCATATAGAGTCTTGTATTTCTGCCCCTACTAGCCTGAACTGCGATCTTCCTACCTATGGCCTCCCATATAGCTGGAATGACAGGCAGGCACTGTCACACCCACCTTACTGGTTGAGATGGGGGGGTCTTGCTAGCTTTTTGCCCAGGCTGCTTGTTGAACCACGATCCTCCCAATCTCCACCTCCTAAGTAGCTGGGATTACAAGTGCAAGCTACCATGCCTGGCCCTGTATTTAGAATTTGTTAAGGCTTTGTATGTATATTATATTTCAGTAAAAGCAAAGACTCTTCTCTCTCTTCTAACCTCCATACCTTGCTATAATGGCAGACACTCTACCACTTGAGCTATACCCCAGCCCCATACCCTCTTGTAAAACCTGTAGGTAACTTTAAAAATTAGCATAAACTTAACACTGGCTAGTTTTCATAATGACGTTGAAGAACAAAATCGGTACAGGTTAAAAGAAAACTGTGGCCTTTCACAGTTCCATATACTTTGTATTTCCCCAATATACATGCAGTGTATGTTACAATAAAGAAATTTCCAAGATAAATAGTTTATAAAGAAAAGAGGTTTATTTAGTATAGTTTTGGAGGCTGAACGTCTACAACATGATGAGGGCTGATGGCAAATGTCATCATGGCGGGAACACAAGTGGAGAGGAATTGATCACACAGCAAGACAGACAACCGAGAGAGGTTTGGGGGTCAGGCTCAATGTTCTTGAGAGAAGTCCCTTAAGAAATAAATCAGTTCCTTCTGAGAGCAGCATTCCCAGTGACCTCCCACAAGGCCCCACATCCTAAAGGTTCTTTCACCTCTCAGCATTGTTACACTGAAGAAGCTTCTTGCACTTGCACCTTGGGGGACAGCCTCAAACCATCTTCATACCAAAACACACAGACAGGTGGTTTCTTAACAGAATGCTAAAAGGCCCTCGGTTCTTCTCAAGTGCTTAAGGGCTCTCCAGGTAGGGCTGTGTGTGTGTGCACCAGTTCTAAGATTAGTTACAATTTCCCCTATAATTTGTGATTTGCTTTGGGAGAATATTATCCTCTGTGATTTGTTTAAGCATTTGACTTAAGATATTTCCTTTTGTTATCTGTTATTCTGGATGCTAATTTTGCTTCTCTTTTTGATTCTTCATCTGGTCTTCTTATAGTCTTATTCTTTTCCGTGCAGTTTTGGAGTTTAATTCTTTTAACATATCATCTAGGTTATTCTCTTTTGTAGAACCTACCTAATCATCTTAGATATTTCACTTGAGTTTTTTTTTCTTTTGGTAAGCTAGAAGCTACATGGTCATCTTGACAATTTTAATAATAAGTAGTGTTAACTTGGAAAGGGAGGTCATGTATGATACATTGTGATTCAACTAAATAATATAAGAAACTCTTTCTCTGAAATGCCTTTAACTCATGCAACAGGCCATTCCTGGCTTCAAAGTCTTGTTCAGTAGCCCACAAGTCAGGCATTCAGGATACATTTTTCTCATAAAAACATGGGATATTTTGGCTTGATCATCTGTGATGTACCTAAAGTATAGATAGTATTAATTGTGTGTATGAATAGTCTTGCCATCATTTATAGCAGTTTTGGTGGGAAGCTATTTTCAGAGAACATATTTTCTTTCTTACAGCCTAAGCAGCTAATCTTTTGGGCCCTATCTCTTTACTTCATACCTGGAGGAGAGAAATGTAGAAAGGGCAGCAGGTGGTGTAGGCCTGCATCTGGAAGTAAACAAAGGGTGAGAGTGGCATGAACAGTGAAGATGGGAGTGAGGCTGTGGGTCTTCTGGATCACTGGCAGTTACATTGAGGTCACTGGTATAGGAGATGGGACCATGCTGTGAAAGGGAGGTCAGGGAAATGGTATTTTCTTCCAACTGCCAGTGCACAGTCCTCATGAGAGTGCTTAGTATGATTGTTACAGAAGTTTCAGAAGAGTTTAGTTGGTGTTCTTTTTTCGTTTCCTCCCCTTTCTCCATCCCCACTGACGGGAGATAGCATGAGCCTGGGGATCTCAAGATTTGAGGAACTTGAGAGAACAGAGGAATAAGAAAGGAAGAGAAGGCTGGAGCAACTTTTAGAATTGTGGAGACAGTTGTGGATAGAGAGGGGGTTTATGTTCTGTGACTTATCCCTCCATGTCTGATTGCTTACTGCTATTACTATTCTCTAGTACTCTGTACTCTAGTAGTTTCATCAAACTCATAAGGCTGAAAGAAGAGAATAACCTTTGTAACAAAATGCTAGAAGCATACAAATAAGTGTTGATTTGTGTAAATATATTTCAGGTGTGTTTGGTCTTCTGATGATTACATATTTAGGCAGAGTCTTTACTGAAACAAGATGTATGTTGATATTTCATTGTGGAGGCAGCAGCAGGAGTTTGGTTATTAGAGTCTGGCCTTCAGAGCCTTCACTCAGGCCCTGCTGCTTCCTTGCTGTCTCCGTCTTTGGCTTCTCATTTGTGACATACGGCGCCAAGTTTCTGCTTTACAGAATGGCTAAGAGGATTTAAAAAACTGGTATATAATAGGTACTCAATAAATTCGATTTTTCTTTCTTCATGGAAGTTATATTTTGTTTAGATTAGTAAATTATACACACTCTAGTGGTTCTGATTTTTTTGTCCAGTTGGATTCTTGAAATATATTCAGTTTGAGATTGATAATGTAGCCTTAGTTCAATCTCCACTAAAATGAGTCAGCCCAAAAACTTCATCAGGAAGAGCTGCCTAATTTTGAGAATATAAATGACAACTTTAAAATAATTTTAATTTAAATATAGTACCTTAAGTAGGTACTATTTACTGAACATGCACATTAACCAAAACTCAAATAAATGAAAAGGTACCAAGAGTCTCTCCACTAGAGAAAACTATTCCTGTTCTTCTATCACCCCTTCTAGTCCAGAGCCATTTATTATTTAAAAAAAAAAAAAAGAATTTTGCTTTGTTTCTAGGTGTAAAACAAAGGTATATCCAGATAATCTTCCTACAACAAGTGTGGTGATTGTTTTCCACAATGAAGCATGGAGCACACTTCTGCGAACTGTCCATAGTGTCATTAATCGCTCACCAAGGCACATGATAGAAGAGATTGTTCTTGTAGATGATGCCAGTGAAAGAGGTAAGTTTTAAATTCTAATCCCAGTAATGTGCTACCTTTTGTCACTAATGGTTTACAAACTAATTGCTATAATTTTCAGTGTAATAATTTTATATAAATGTCCAATTTATCCAAAAATACTTATAGCATTTGAACTCATTTACCTATATGAAAAGTATATCCTTATGAAAGTTAAAGTTTAAGCATTTAATTAGTGCTGCATCTTGATCTTATTTTTTTAAAAAACAATGCTTTAGAATGCAAATGTTTGTGTAGAACAGTGGGGGGAAAATTGTTAGGATTTCCTCCTTGGCAACCTTTAGTCCTGAGTTAGCAGACAGAGTCAGCTAGATCCACCTTAGTCATGAATGGAGAAATTTAGTTCTGTGTATAGTAGGAGGTATCTTTGGTAGCAAAATGGAATCTAAGTTGGAAGAGCCTTAGTTCTTCAGGTTCTTCTCAGGTATTCCTATTTCCTTGCTTGTAAAGTTTCATGAATGATACATAGCTAGGTACATAAAAGGAATACACCAGATTAAAAGGTGGTATGTAATACCACTTTAATCTCATAGTAAATCTCTGCAATGACTTTTGTCTAATCATCCTTCTGAGAATTTCAGAATTTTTCCACAAGCTTAGAACCTCCAGCCTGTTTCATGAAACACTCTTTGGGAAAAAGATAATTAGGTGTCTCAGGCCAAATTAGGTGTCTGTATTCTGAGTACTACTTGAAGATTTCACACTGCAGAATACATAGAAGACTTTCACTTAGTCCATCAGTAAAAGAGACTTGTTAAACTTAGAAACCCAGCATTTTCTAATCTTTTTTTTTTCTTGTAGCACATCTATGTAGGAATCGTTGGTATCATGTATTCCTAGGTTCACATAAGAAAATTCTGGAGGGAAGTACAGAAAATAGCTTCCTACTGCTTTTCCCTCCTTCCTTGAAAAGCTTTAAACTTCATGGCCCATCATTTTTACTTTTTTTAGTGTCTTCAACTCTTTTGCCTATTCTCTCATTGCATCCACTGAGATGGTTTAGTCAAATATTATACCCTCTCCTTCCTGTGCCCACACTAAATATGTGCATTTAAAAGTAATTAACTTTAATCACATCATATATTATTAGGAGTAATTTATGTGTTAGTAACAATTTAAATCTTACCATTTTGCTAGATTGTACAAGTGCTAGTGAAGAATATGATACAGCTTCTCAAGTTCCTTATAGCTTATCTGCTTTCTTTAATTAAAGAAATAATTTATAATCACAAAATATTTAAGTAGTATTTAATATATTTCAGTGTCAAAATGAATGAGCGCTATTATGCATTAAGAATATTATGCATTAAGAATACCTAAAAAAAGAAATAATTACTATTGATTGCAAAAGTATATATCTCATGTGGATAATTTTTTGCTAGCAGTTAATCCTTTAAGAAAATTCATCTAATTTAAGGAACAGTATATGCAGTCATGCATCACTTAACAATGGGGAGAGTTCTGAGAAATGTATCATTAGATGATTTTGTCATTGTGCAAACATAAGATATACTTACAAAGACGTCTATAATGTCACTACGTGATACAATCTCAGGCACCCATCATGCATACTGTCATTGACCAAAATATTATGCTGCACATAACTGTACAAACATTTATCCTGCAAGTGACTTGTGCTTGGTTTACTTACATGTTGATATTTGCTAAATTAAATACTTCTCAAAGGGAGATATTTTTCTCAGATAAAATGAATTTCCATTTCCTCCTTTGGTTTTCTGTTATTCTGCAAGTACCTACAAAGACTGTGAGAATAGGAAGTTTTTGTGTAATGTGACCTCATTGGAAATGTGGGTGTACCCACAACTCTGGGTGACAAATTTGCATATACCAGTTCTCTCCCTTTCTTCATGCAGGCCTTACTTAATACTCTACCCTAAATCTGTGAGTGACAGCTGGTATAAGCAGGTGTCTACTTTGCTGTTCCACTAGGGGCTTATAGTCACTAGGTAGGGTTCCCCCAGTGCTACCCCAGAGTCCCTGATCAGGGTTTTGATTTTCCTTTATCTTGCTGCCTTTTTAAAAAGCCTAAAAATCCAGCCAGACCTAGTGATACATATTAGTAGTCTCAGCACTCAAGAGTTGTGGAGGCAGAAGGATTATAAATTGAAGGCCCACCTGGTCTACATAGTCAGACTCATGTCTCCAAAAGAAAAAGAAAATAAGAAAATCTCAAGAATCCAGGTTTCTATTTCTGATATCTGGGAACCATTATGTATTGTTTCTTGTGGTTATAATTGCAGGTTTACTATCCAGATTGAGTTTCCTAATGTGATTTTCTTTGGCACCATTGTGTAGATGACTGTTGTTGGATTCACAAACCAACGGAAGCTCTTTGCTTTTATGTAATTCTTTAAGTCTGCTTTTTCCTACTCATGAGACACGTTTCTCACCTGGACTGCTAAAATAAACCAGCAGTCTAGTCTCTGTGCATAAACTTTCATCCCCTCCCATGTGTTCACCACAGTGCACACAGAATGAGCTTTTCAGCATGCAAATGTGGTCATGTCACTTCTCTTATTGAGACCTTCATGACTTGGCCTCATCTTGCATCTGCAGTCACATCTTAAACCATTTTCCTCCACTCCAATCCCATACTTCCACTCGTTGTCCATAATTTGCCTGTGCTGGTGCTGTTCTCTCTTCTAGAGACTGTGCTGTAGGAAGCATTCTTCTCTATCCTCTCCCCAGCCTGGTTAGCATCTAATCACCCTCAGAGGTCAGCTCAAGTATGATTTATTTAGAGAGGGATTCTGTGACCTCCCTAGACATGGACACTCTCCTGGACTTTGATGTCCTTCTGAACACATCTTAGAACACTCCTTACTCCTGCACAGCTCTCATCAAAGTTTTCCTTCATTGACTTGTCTGTTTCATGTCTGTCTTCCTCCATTAGACTGACCTCTCCATTAGGCCCGTTTGCTAACCATTGTCGCCTCTGTGCCCACAATGCCTGTCACATAGAAAATGGCCTAGAACTTTTTGAATAAATAAATGATCTACTAGCATTTACTCCTCATATTTGCTTCTTCTTAATTAGAATGTATAGCATACATAGTATGCTCATGGCCTCAGGATATTTGATTTCAGTTACTCTACTAAGTAGTTCTGTTTGTTAAAGAAGTATGAAATAGGTACTACAATTATCCCATTTTATTAATGAGGTTTAGCGTGATAAAGAGGTATCCAAACTCTGTAAGCCAGGGACTTGACCTCTTAACCACTATGTATCTCATTTCTGATCACTTTGGACACAACTTTCCTATTATAGAATCTGTAGTGAAGTCAGATGAATCCCTAATTCCTGTTGGAAGTTACGTGATCATAATCTCAGGAAGTTAAGACTTAGAACTTTTATAGTGCTCCTAATCTGAAATGACTTTTAGTTTTCTTACTTAACAAAGGAAAGGCAAGATAGAATCAGATTTATTAGACTCTTGAATTACTTGTTCTTTACAGGTCCATGTAATATTTCTCAGATATTGCTGTAAACTGTAATTTTTTCCTGACATTCTCATTTTTTTACTTCCTTATGCTCCCTGGTGCTTAGAGATCCACTGATTGGGCAATAGTTGTAATGATATTGTAATAAATAAAATTTACCCTTGTTTTTTGGATGAAGTAGGAGCTCCTAATCATAATCATTTAACCTCTTATGAAGTGATACTTGATCATTATGATTCTCCTACCTAGCCTTAAGTCCATAATTATATATCCTCAGAAAGGAACACACCTCTGTTTCACAGCCTTACTGTATGAAGGGCACAGATGCCAAGAAAACTTGTAAAATAACAAGCTTTTTGAGTTACACCACTGAATCAGGCTTTGTTCACAAATGACAGAGTATTACAGCTTTCAGACTTACGGAACTTGGAGAGTAGATAGCTTTAGTTTTTAATAAGCATTTTAACTATCTCATATTTTTGAGAAAAGTTGTGGGGAGGCACACTGTGATACACTCAACCTTTATTGATCTAAGGTACTAGATGTGCCTTACCACATGAGATTCTGTCAAATTCTAGTCATAAAGTATACTTATCTATATTTGTGTCAGATTAAATGCTTCCACAGTCCTGAATTACTCTCTAGAGTTCCCTTCTAGAATATTCTCTGTTGTGTGTGTGTGTGTGTGTGTGTGTGTGTGTGTGTGTGTGTGTGTGTGTATGGTGTGTGGTACTGGCATTTGAATCAGGGCTTACAACTTGAGCCACCAACCTTTTTTTGCAATGGGTTTTTTTAAGATAGGGTCTTGTGAACTATTTGCCTGGGCTGTCTTTGAACCACAATCCTCCTGATCTCTGCCTCCCGAGTAGCTAGGATTACAGGCGTGAGCCACCGGCACCCGACGCTTATTTTTGTTTTTTGAGTTAGGGTATTACTGTCCTGCTCAGGCTGACCTGGAACTCACTATGTAGGCTAGGCTGGCATCAGCTCACAATCATCCTCCCTTTGTCTTTGTTTCCTTAGTGCTGGGATTATAGGCATGTACCACCATCCCAGTTCTTTTAGAATATTCCTGCTGTGGATGAAAAGTTGGGTATTAAAGTGAGGCAGACTTGAGTTTGAATCTTAGATCCAACCCTTAACAAACTGTATCACCTTGATCAAATTCACATAACAGTCTGAGCCTTGGATTTGATTCCTAAAATATGCATAATAACACAACCTCACAGGTACTTAGAAGGACTGAATAAGAAAATACGTCACTAGTTTAACATTGTGCTAAATAAGTCACGTAATGTTAGCTGTATCCAGGTGTGGTAGCTCACACCTGCAGAGTCCCAACTTCTCATAAGGGAGATTGGGAAGATCATGGTTTAAGATCAGCCTGGGTAAAAAAATGAGTGAGGCCTCACTGCAAATGTTTTTCTCTATGATTACCACTGTTCCCACCTTTTTGCTCAAGAATCTTGTTAGGTCTTTCTAATCTTAAAACTCAGTTTGTAAAGGTCTAGCAGTGTATATTAGAGTCTCCTTTTTAGTCCGAAGAGTATGGTGATCAGTAAGCCAGTTTGTTTCTGCTTCTGACAAATACCTCACAATTTTCAGAACTGTAACAGCTGTGGTATATTGGTGTGTTCTATTTCTTCTCTCTGTTGAGGTCTGGATTTAGTGTTCTAGAACTACTTTCTTTCTGTTGCTGTTTCTTAAGCATGAAAAGAAAAAGCAACATCTTTGCCTGACAGAGTTACTTTGAGAAGTTGTGGTGATATGCCTGTCCTTCATGATATCTGAACAGAAGATGCTCCCTACATGCACCATGTTAGGAGCAGATACAGTCCAGCTGTAGTCCACACTCCCATAAAAGAAAAAGGCTTCCTTTTAGGAAATGCGTTGCTGAGGCAGGGAGCATCACTGGAGTGCTCAGTAAATATGTGTTGAATGAATATTGCAGATCAAAATTGCTTTACATCTGTGTAGCACCAATTCACTCTTTTTTCATGTTACTGTTCTGTTAATTTTTCAGACTTTTTGAAAAGACCTCTAGAGAGTTATGTGAAAAAACTCAAAGTTCCAGTTCATGTAATTCGAATGGAACAGCGTTCTGGATTGATTAGAGCGAGGTTAAAAGGAGCTGCTGTGTCCAAAGGCCAAGTGATCACCTTCTTGGATGCTCACTGTGAGTGTACAGCAGGGTGGCTGGAGCCTCTCTTAGCCAGAATCAAACATGACAGGTAATTTTCTGGAGTCTGTAATTTTGTTCTCAGTACCTTTGTTATCTTTGTCCTAAACTGTATGGTGAGTTACAAAATTCTATATTTTTAAATAAATGCAAAAAATAATTTCTTCTCATGTTGCCTTTAAAATGTTCTGAAGAGCACAGTAAAGAAAATGTGAAGAAGACCAGGTCTGGTGGTGAAGTTTGCAGACCATCTTGGTGATGGATTAGGAAGCATGATGTTAGACTATGTATCAGATGCTCTGTTTACCCATCAGGAGCAGAACAGATAGAAAGTGAACTCAAGGAAGATAGGATAAAACCCTTTAGTTGTCCCTGCTCCCTAAGGCTAACATTGAGGCAGGCAGGTTATCTCATCTCTGCCTGCATCTTCCTTGGAACTGCAGCTCAGCTTGTAGCACAGCAAGTACAAGAACTAAGAGAAGCACAATGCTTAACTGAATAGTACTATAATCTCAGATAATGCAGGAAGAGTGTTGCTGCAGTGCACACCTATGTTACGCATTTCAAAGAATTACCTATTGCCTGACCCTGTCTTAGTTCTTTGAGGAGAGAACCTAGCTTCTACACCTGTTGTCAGTTGAATGTCTCCTTGTCATGGCAATTAGAGCTAGAGACTGTCTGTATCAACATAAGGGTTTAGAGTTTAGTAGTCATGTGGAGACTGGCGGGAACCAAGGCCACTGCATCTGTTCTGTTTATTTACAAATGCTGGGCCTACAACTCTCTACTTTCAGCGATGAATAAGAAAGACCAGCATTCGACCAAGGGGAAAATCCTGCAGCTTTAGGAAGAAGCTCATTGCCCTGAAGAATCAAAGGAACAGAGTATCTCTATAAATTGTTTTCTATAAATAACAGATAACTGATTTAGAAAATACTTGCTTGCATAAAGATAACAGCCTTAGAAAGAAGAGCCTGAACCCATAGGGAAAAAGCAACTTGAAGTGATAACAGTATAGGATAAAATTTGGTAAAGTAACAAACACAATAGCTTCCAGTTTGGGCTATGTGGTAGATTAGATATCCTAAATAACTTTCCTACTGAATAAAATATAAAAGAAAATTTTAAATACATTGAGTTGGCACAAAGATAAGAAATTTGTGATCTCAAAAGAGAGCAAATTAGCAGTCCATGCATTAAAGCTGGCTTTTAGTTATAAGATTTATGCCAAACTCTGGTTTTTTTTTTTTTTTTGTGGGACTGGAGTTTGAAATCAGGGCTTCATGCTTGCAAAGCAGTTGCTGTACCACTTGAGCCATACCTCCAGTACGTTTTGCTCTAATTATTTTGGAGATGGAGTCTCAAGAACTATTTGTCCAGACTGGCCACAAACCAAGGTCCTCCCAGTGTCAGCCCCCAAAGTAGTTAGGATTACAGATGTGAGCCACTGATGCCTGGAGTATATTTATTTTTAAAATACTCAAGATGCAGGGCTTAGTGGAGTGGCTCAAGTGGTAGAATGCCTGCCTAGCAAGTGTGAGGCCACGAATTCAAGCTTCAAGCCCCAGCATCACCAAAAAACAAACAAACAAAAAACCCTCAAAATGCCAGTTGAAAAACTCTTAAATATATAACCAGATAGTCGGTTTGTATATAAAAAAATACAAACCTGAAGGAAAAATGTCTTTTCTAATAACTTGAAAATACAAAACTTTAAAATTCTGAGATATATCTTAATGTTATTGTATTAATAAAAACGTGAGAAAATAACATCTTAAGTTGAGAGCAATATGGGGAAACTGTAGGAAATAATATATATTTCCAGAAAGCAGTGAGGAATAACATCATTAATTCAGTAATCTCAGTGCTTGAGTTTACTCCTAAAGCAAAAGCAAACGCTTTTGGACATGAACAAACTCAGTTACCTCACTAGCAGAAATATTATAAAGAATACAAATGTCCAAGAGTTGCTTATTAAGAAAATTATTACTTTAGAATGATTAAATATTAGTTACTAAAAGTGTTATTTTTAAAAATATGTATAAATACCATACAATTTTTTACATGTGGTATAAATAGTATAAAGATGTTTGGGAAAGGTGCAAGAGGTTGTTAATCAACAAGTAACTATGACACTAATTTGGTGAGGACATGGCAAGTTTTTCACCATTGTCTTTAACATTATAGAATGAATTTTTACATAGTTGTTACAGTAAGCAAGAACATTTTGAAAGGTTTTAAAATTTGCTTTTGTGATGTTAGGAGAACAGTGGTATGTCCTATCATTGATGTAATCAGCGATGACACTTTTGAGTACATGGCAGGCTCTGATATGACTTACGGTGGATTCAACTGGAAGCTCAACTTTCGCTGGTATCCTGTTCCCCAAAGAGAAATGGACAGAAGAAAAGGTGATCGGACTCTCCCTGTGAGGTAATTTGTCAGACATTTTTCCTAAAGCATTATTGACAGAGGATTGTAAAACTTCAGGAATCATATTAAAAGAATTTTAAGTGTGCTTTGAGACACACAAAGGGATTGTATACTTCATATGTAGCTAAGAGGCATATTTCACAAATCAGTATTTCTTTATTATTATTTAGTAATTTATTTTTATTTATTTATTTTTTATGCTTCCCACCATAGCCATAGGTGGGGTGGCAGGCTTGGACACTGTGCCAGTCTCTTGGTTGAGATGTAGTTCTCAGGATCTGTTTGCCCTGACTGGACTAGAACCTTGATGCTCCAGATCTCAGCTTCCCCAAGTGGTTAGAATTACAGGGCTACAGGCACCTGGAAGTTGAAACTCTTTAGATTAAAATTATATGTCCCTGTAACATTCTACTTACTAAGTCTTTACTACAAAACAAGTTTTTTACTAAGTGGGGGAAGGCAATACAAATCTTATAATTTATCTGATCATTTGCTTTGAAATGAGATTCTTTTCGTTTTGCTTTTTCCATATGATTAGAAACACATTTGCTTTTAATTTTTTATATTTATTTATTGGTGGGTCTGTGGTTCGAATTCAGGGCCTTAGGCATTCTACCACTTGAGCCACTCCACCAGTCCACAAATCAATATTTTAAAGAGGAATTTTTCTTCCAGTCAATTAATAAAATTAGAATTTTTTTCATGTGTTCTGGAAATTTAGCACACATGCAGAATGATGACATCATATATATGTTCTTAAACTGTTACATGAAAATGTATAAGTCTAGTCTATGCTTAAGTCAAAGTGCTCCTTAATTAATTAAATAATACATAAAACTGGGTTCTTGACTATAAGATTTTTAATTCAGAGTGTTACCATCCAGATGATAGTTACTGACTGAAAAGGTTAGAAAAACTTATATCAGACATTAATATTAGAATTAACACAAAGTATGAAAAGAATTAGCATTAATACATTTGTAAAGTTTTCTTTTTTCCCACACTTGATCACATAGATTTTTTTTCTTCAGAAAGTGATAAAAATCTTCATGCTATTCAGGACATGAAATTTTGACCTCTGAGCTTCCTGAGCCAACCTAGGATTTTTCCCAGTTGCATACCCTCCAACCACTTCTGTAGTTCCTTTAGTTGCTTCAGAACCGAGTTTGTACTTCTATTCTGGGCTTCTCAGGGATGCTTCCAGTACAGGTCTGGAAAATGGAAGGGATTTTTTTTTTTACTGTGTTCTTTTCCCAAGCCAACCTGAGTTCTTACCAGTACAATGGACTTTCCCTTTCTTTAGCTCTTGCTTCAGTTCAGCATCTAAATCAGGGATTCCTAAACATTTCAAAGATAATGGACTTCTTTGAAAATCTGATAAAAAGCTATGGGTCTTCTCTAATGGGGAAGAAATGTACATGCACTTACACAAGATTCAGCAGCTCAGGAAACCCCAGTACAGGATGATACCTCTGGGCATTGGTCTGTTTCCTTTGACTTCTAAAAGTTTAACCTTTTCTCATTCTTTCTCTTCTAAAATCAGAATAGTCCAAATCTTTTTCGGAAACCACTATTTTCACCAGAAAGGCAAATACTGCGACCCTAAATAGGACATAGAATGAATAGATTTTAGGATTACAGAGGTGACCAATCATCTTAAAATATGATTCTTCAGAATAACCTTGGATCCTAGAATTTTATTGTTTTTTTCCCAGCTGGAGTCCATTTTTTTCCTCCATATTCATTCTTCATAGAAATGAAATGGTTAGCTGATGCTCATTTATTTAAATCTTCCCTCTTTATTATTTCCCACCTTCACCTTATATCTTGCATTCATATCTGTATATTAAGGAATTGGGCTCCTCTTTTGCAGGAGTATATTGATTTTATTCTGTATTTCCTCTCCTCATGTTTTCGTCCTAAAATCTCATGTTTTTGCAGAATTTGCCACCTTTAGAATCTGGCGTGTTAAGCCTAACCTGACTGTAGTTTGCTAAAATAGTCAACTTCCTTTATAATTGCTAGAGACTGTGGAATGAGTACATAATCAGATGCAGAAATAGCTTCAATTTAAGGAACCTGGGGTTGAAAGTCAGGACCAAGGGCCAAGAAAGATGCTAAAACTAGGAAGCATCCTAAGGACTTTGACAGAGAGCAATGTGTAAACAATGGGTCTAGCAGACAGCATGACTAGGGTGTGGGTCCTTGGTGACACAGAAAGCCCTTGGGGTCTATGAAAGTTTCTGAAGAGTGTGATAGTAAACAGTAGTCTATAATTAAAAACAGTTATCAAACTACAGTGCTTTTTTTTGTTTTTTTAAAGGAGGAAAGACTTGTTTTGGCTCATAAAACTATAGTACTTGTAAAAACAAAAACTGATTATAAATTTTTAAATCATTAAAATTAATGGTATAGTATTATGATTGAATTTCAGAACACCTACAATGGCAGGAGGCCTTTTTTCAATAGACAGAGATTACTTTCAGGAAATTGGAACATACGATGCTGGAATGGATATTTGGGGAGGAGAAAACCTAGAAATTTCCTTTAGGGTAAGTTCCCTTTGAAAAACATCTTTTACTTAACCTCAAATATAGTTATACTTGGATTATTCATGTTATCTCTAAATAAAAAATAACAAATTTAATGTGAGTTTAATCTGACTCCCCAGCCTTGGACCTATTAAAAAGTTTGATGATACTATTAAGTGTTCATTATAAAATATTTTAGCAAATAATCTAGTTATCTTAATAGTCTAGCTGTAAAACTTATATGAGTCTCTAGTTTTTATTTCCTATAATTTTCTAGGAAGTGATTCAAACTATAGAAAAATAAAATGTCATTTATATATGCTAACTTTTACTGTCAAAAGCACAGTTTTACATTGTGTGATAGGCTTTTTGTCTGATGTGAAAATTGTTCTCTTATATAAAACTTTATCAGCTTTATGAAAAGAAAAGGCACAGCAGTTCTGAGATGTCTAATTTAACCCAATTGGTCAACCTTTCCAACTCATGTTCACTAAAATCAGTATATTTAGATGACATGGTAGATTCTTAAATAATCAACTCTGCCACATAGCTTGTTATAGTGGAAGCCACACTAAAATGTACTAAAATTGAACCAGAGGGAACTCACATATTGTCGGTGAGTTGCTCTGTCCTCTTGTGAAAAGAGAGAGGTTATCTTGGAGAGTCTATCCAGCCTAACACTTCATGATTCTGGAAAAACTTGAAAGGCAGGCACACTAAATATTTTACAATCAAAACTTTTTAAAATGTAACTTTTACTTGTAAATAGTTTTGAGATTTTGAATTACATGAGAAAAATACAATTCGAAAGGAGGAAAAGGTTTATGTTGAATTATAGTCTATACTTGATCTTTCTTTTGCTCCGTTTTTGTTTTTATTGCTCTAACAAATAGAACAGAACATGCTATCACTATCACTGAAGAACTCATAATGGATCTGGCTTTGGTTCCCAATATACAAGTGGTAGCACAGGTTTGGAGAGGGTGAGCAGAAAAGAATCTGTCTGGATACTCCATGATCAGTTTTTTGCTTTTTGTAAAACTCCATTAATAAATATATTATACATGCAAAACAAAGAATTTGAGCATTTCATGAATTAATGTGTCCTTGTTAATAAGAGCTAGTTGCAGTTCACCAGTTTGAGTGTAATGATGCCATTCTGAATCATGGCCTGCATTTAGAAAAATTCTGCTCTACATGTCACTTTTTTTTTCTGTATTTAGCCTTTAACCTGTCTTTTCTGTATTTTAATCTTTCAGTTTTGGTTTAATCAAAGCCAAAAAATTAGAGAAACACTTATCCCTGATGTATTGGCTTTATAATCAAATAGTAGGAACTCCTCTGATGCCCTTGACCCTGTAAAATTTTAAATATGGAACTCAGTAGATACCAACACAGTTTTTTAAAAACTACCAGTGTCCAACATGGTCTTCTTTGCCTTTGTTTTCAGATAGTTTTGTTGATGGAGTAGAGATGCCAGTTCACAATAAATTTTCCATTTAAGTTTGAGTAAGAGCCAAACATGCTCCTATTGAATCAAAAAGAAAAATGCCAGGAGAAAACTAAGATAAGTTTTTCCTGGTTACTGAGCAATGTCTTGCTGTTGTTTTCAGATTTGGCAGTGTGGAGGGACTTTGGAAATTGTTACCTGCTCACACGTTGGACATGTGTTTCGGAAAGCTACGCCTTACACGTTTCCAGGAGGGACAGGGCAGATTATCAATAAAAACAATAGACGGCTTGCAGAAGTGTGGATGGATGAATTCAAGAATTTCTTCTACATAATTTCTCCAGGTTGGTTTATTTTGCATTAGAAATACAAGACTGTACCTTCCTTGTCCCTGATCCTAATGCTTTCCAAGGAGAGTTAGGAAGGTGGAAGCAAAGTTTTTAGAGACTACCGAAAGGAGTAATGAAACCACACTAGAGAAAAGCACTTGACAGAATGCCTGATAACATATTATTACTAGTAATACTAAATTATCCTGGTCAGTTTTGCCAGCCCTGGTATTACTGATGTTTATCTCAGAGTCTGCACCTTTAGCTACTCCACCATCCCTTTTTTGTAAAGGGTTTTTTGAGATAAGGTCTTGTGAACTATTTGCCTGGGCTGGCTTCGAACCAAGATCCTCCTGAGTAGCTAGGATTATAGGTGTGAGCTAATGGCGCCTGGCCCTTTTTTTCTTTTTTTTTTAAAGCATTTGATGTTTATTCTTGTGAGGTTTCATATAGTTGATTCTCATTTTCCTAGCTTGTATGATTTTTTCTGGATTTTTGGCTTTTTTTATCCAACATTAAAACCCCACTCTGTTAGCATGGTTTTAAAACAGTGTGTCCTGAGCATTCTCCGTGAGCAGGCCCTTGATGCCATCATACAAGGCTTTCATCAAACTATCTAGCATCACAAGACCAGTACAGAGCCCTAAAACACCTCAAGGAACTTCTCCAGGAACTTTTCTCATT